GGGGGGGGGGGGGGGGGGGGGGGGGGCTGTTTCTCCCTTGGCCTTCCCCCCCCCCCCGACTCATGCTTGTGCTCTTGCTCTCTCTGAAATAAATATATAAATCTTTAAAAAAAAAAAAAAAAAGTCCCGGATGCCTTGCATGTGTTTTGCAACCCCTGCTCGTCTCAGTCTCAACTCATACCTGCCGTGTTGCAGTGGTTGGTGACACCGTGGAGGGCAGTGCAGGCCTAGAAGTACCAGGGGGCTGGTGGGAGAGCAGCGATGATGGTTAGCAGTGATCATAACTTGAGCTCGTTTCCTGAGTGCTTGCTCACCTGTTCTGGGTACCTGGGTGGCCCTGACCGTAGTTCTGGCTTCTCTAGCCCCATGGCCTGTCATTGGTTCCTAGCCTCAGTGCCCACCTGAGCTGCCACTTCTTAACCTTCTTGGGCACATTCCAAGGGAGGCACCGGATGGGGTCAGGGATCCCCAGCACGGTGGCAGGTGCTACCCAGGCCTGTGGGGCAGGGCTGGCACCCAGAGGCTGGGCATCGTCCGAGGCTCTTTCTGCCAGGGCATTTGGCCACTTGGGGTCTCCTTCTCCTACTGCCTCGGACAGACTGACCCTCTTTGCTAGTGTCAGCACACTGTCTCAGAAGAGCAGAAGATAAACGTTTTCAGCTTTGCAGGCCAGATGGCCTCTGTCCCAAGGACTCAACTCTGCACTGTGGCAGAACAGCAGCTTAGGATGTAACCAAACGGGCATTCTTGTAGAACTACATTTACAAAAGCCGACCGTGCTGCCGGTCCCTGCTCTACCCCTGTCCTGCCCACGCTCCCCTCATCTTCCCTTCCCTGTGGCGTCTCTGTGGCTCCTGTCTCCCTTGCGCCTTCCATAGCCACGGTGGCTTTCTCTTCCTGAGTCTTTTAAGATCCTCACCACTGCTGTTCCCAGCTATGAGTGAAGGATGCCACTTGCCTAGAGCTGGGGGATTCATTTCATTCTACATATGCCCCGGCAGCCCTCTGGACCCACACCCTGAGCTGGGCAATGTTTATGATCATAAGATGCCCAGCATCTGGCTGGGATTCCTGGACCTAAGATCCAGGTATGTCTTCAATCAGTTGATTATGAGACACACCTGGGACTGGTGGCCTCATCCCCCTTTGCATAGGCTCTGGATTCAAGGCCATGCATGAGGCTCTGAGAGCTGTGCCACATCCTGGGTCTCCCTCTTGCAATTCTGTCCCTACCACACCAATGCTGTCTCCCCATTGCCCTTGGCAGCAGGGATTTTTGTCTCTCTCACTTACTGCCGTGTCCCCAGTGCCTCATGCCCAGGAGGGCTCGATAAATGCCCCATGAGTAGAACAGATGGATGCTGCAGAGGCAGCAGATTGTTCTAGGTACCGATCGCTTTGGGAGCTGAAGCTCTAAAAACCTCCTCTTGCAGGAAGCCCTCCCTGATTGCCCCTTCCTACCTTCCTTACCTCTGGCCCTGGGTATGTCTGTGTCCAGGGACTAGCCAGGGAGGGTCCAGGCCACTGAAGATATGACCAGGGGTATCTGTAGAGTTCACTGAATAACTGCCCACACCCCGGAGAGCTTGTCAACTATAACCACTTGGAGGGGTGTAGTCAGAGCTGGGAACCCCTTCCTGGGCCCTGGGTCTCGGCCCCTTCCTGGTCCCAGGAGCTCGGGACTGACGCCATCCTTCTTGCCCACAGGGTCAGCTGGCAGCCGACCAGGGGGGTCAGCAGCCCCTCCCGGCTCCCCTGTCTACCTCGACCTGGCCTACCTGCCCAGCGGGAGCAGCGCCCGGCTGGTGGACGAGGAGTTCTTCCGGCGGGTGCGTGCACTCTGCTATGTCATCAGTGGCCAGGACCAGCGTAAGGAAGAGGGCATGCGGGCCGTCCTGGACGCACTGCTGGCTGGCAAGCAGCAGTGGGACCGTGACCTCCAGGTGCGTGACCACCCCAGGGTGTCAGGCAGTCTTGGCACAAGGTGGGACCCACACCTCCTGATACCTTCCTGTTGAACGTCCTCTTATGTGCGACCTTCACCCACCCACAGAGGCAGCAGGGCTCAGAGAGGCTAAGCTGTGTCCCCAAGGCCATGGAAACAAAGGCATACGCAGAGGTGTCCACTTCGTCTGTCTGCAGCAGCCTGGGTGCATGTGCTGGGCAGGACTGGTGTGATGGGCCAGGAGGAAGAGGCGAGGTGTCAGTGCAGCTGACAAAGGGGAGAATTGAGCCTGTGGGCTGGGGTTGTCCCCAGAGGAGGCCTGGAAGCAGAGCCTTGGAGCGTGAGGCAAGTTTGGGTAGAAGCAGCAGATTCCAGGTCCCTGGCCACCCGTGTTGCGTGTGGGCCAGCCGGCGGGAGAGCAAGCCTGGCGTGTGCAGGGGAGGAGCCAGAGGGAGTCCTGCTCTCCTGTGCTGTGAGAGGCTCCCTTCCCCTGGGTGCTGTGGGGAAGAGAAGGGGCTTCGGGGATGAGCTGGCCCCCAGCTACAGACGTCCAGGCGGGAGAGAAGGGAAGCCGAGCAGATGTGTTCAGGAGAAGGGCCTAGAGATGCTGGGAGTGGAGTTGGGGGCGGGGCCGGGAGGGTAGAGGGGACCCCCTCCCCCTCACCGTCAGGCCGTCTGTCCCACCTGCAGGTGACCCTGATCCCCACCTTTGATTCCCTGGCGCTGCATGAGTGGTACGAGGAGACGCATGCGCGGCACCAGGCGCTGGGCATCACCGTGCTGGGCAGCAACAGCACCGTGTCCATGCAGGACGAGGCCTTCCCCGCCTGCAAGGTGGAGTTCTAGCTCCAGGCCAGCCTCCCGCCCCCACCCCACCCCCGCCCCAGCCCGGAGTCGGCCGCTGCCTGAGACTCCCCTGCATCAGAAATAAACCAGGTACCCCACTCGGCCGTGGCCTCCATTCCTTCTGCTGACAGGAGACTTGGCAACGTCCGGGGCTGTTGTCATCACTGTGCCGGCCCCCAGTTCGGGGGGAGGCACGCTCTGGCCTCCGTGTGGCGGATGGGAACCCCCCTGCCCGGGGGAGGGTGTGCCTCTCTGGCAGGGACCACCGGCAGCTGTTCGTGCTGCTGACCTTGAGGAGCTGATTTTCCCCGTGGGGAAGCTGGTTCCCCTGGGCAGCCGCTGGACCCCCACCACACACCAGTCCGTGACCAAGGTGAGATTTGAACCCCAGGCTCTGTGCTCCAAAGCTGGAAAACAGGTTCCTCTCCGTTTCTAGAGATGACTGATGCTCCTGGCCGGGAGTCCCATGCTACAGAGAGGTCTTAAAGAAGAATCGGAAACCCAGTGGTCACAAAACGTCAGTTCCTGAAGACCCCCCTTCCCTGCACTCTGCACATGTGCACATTCGAGGATGTGCCACGTGCCCTGGTGTGGATGGCGACCCAGAAAGCGTACATCTGTCCTGTCACCCGATGTCCGGGAGTGTCACCGAGTAGAGAGATGGAATTAAGTGAGGGATCTTGGGATTATCTGGATGGGCCCTAAACCCAATGACAGGTGTCCTTATAAGAGACAAAAGAGGTGACATTGAGAGAGGAAGGCCGCGTGGAGATGGAGGCAGAGATTGGGGCGATGGGGCCACAAGCCGAGGAGCACTGGAGCCTCCAGAAGCTGGGAGGGGTGAGGAGTGGTCCTCCCCTAGAACTTTCTGAAGGAACCAACCCCGCTGGCAACTTGATTTCAGAGGCAGCCTCCAGAAGTGTGTGAGAGTGAACCGTTGTTTGGGGTACTTTGTGACGGCGGCCCCAGAGGAGCTGGGGGGCACACGGCTCCCTTCCCTGGCCGCGGTGGCCCGAATCACCGCGTGTGGCTGCGGAGCGTCTCCCGCCGAGGACTCGGAGTTTCTCGCAGCTCTGGAGGCTGGAAGTCAGGGTGCCCGCAGGGCCGGGGTCTGGTCAGGAGGCTCCCTGGCTTGCACATGGCTGCCTTCTGGCCGGGTGCTCACATGGAGCGGGAGGGGCGTGGGGGCACGTTCTCTGACCTCCCCTTCTTAGGAGAGCACTGACCCCGTTGCGAGCCCCCCCTTCACTACCTGCTGATCTCCCAGAGTCCCCACGTCCAGAGACACTGTCACGACACCATCACGATGGGGAGTTGGGCTTAAACATAGGAGTTGAGGCGGGGGGTCTGTATGGTTAGGGCTCAGCCTGTCAGTATCCAGCGTCTGGTTGGACTGGCCCCTGTGGTTGCACACCCTTCAGCAACACCCATCAGGAAACTGAAAAAAGTAAAGGTTTCTTACCAACAAGACCTGGAGCTCCCACAGCACCCCCAGGGCGGGCCACACAGTGAGGGGGTGGGAGGTTCCCTGGCTGGGCCTCTGCTTTTACTGGGGTCCAGGATGGGGGCGTGGGGTTCCCAGGGCTCATTGCTTATGGTAAAACTAAAACATAGGAGTGGGAATTTAAAGCGCCAGAAGGGAAAAAACAAGTGGCCCCAAAGGCCAGTTCTCAAAAGCAACCAAGAGCTCTCAAACAAGGCAGCCTGGGGGGCGGGGGGGGGCCGGAGAGCTGGCTGTTTATCGAGCGGTGTGGCTGGCAGATAGGTTTATTCCAGATAGCTACCTTTGAAACGGATGCCTGGGCAATCAAAGCTTAAGTCAGACACTTACATTACAAGAAGAAAAAGAAAACACCCAGGGGGCACACAGTTCAGGCCAGAGCTGTCAGCGGCAGCAGGCAGGGAGATGGCTACAAAGGGTTGGTGTGGGGGACCTGACTGCTTCCTGTGGGCGCCACCGAACTGGTGTCGGGCTGTCTTCATGTGGGATGTTGGGGCTTGACGGGGCCAGGCTGTTGGGAAGTGCAGACGGACGTCAGGAGAGCCCGTCCGGGACCCACAGGGATGGGACCCACCAGGGCGCTGTGGGTGGGGCCGGGGCCCAGCTCAGCACACAACGGCCCCGGGGAACAGGGGAGCAGCAGTCTGGGGGGGCTGCTCAGCACCTGGGACCTGGATCTGCGACCCTGCGCCCACTTGGTTGTCGCTGCACCCGCCTCCCACCGCTCACAGGGAAGGGGAGTGCTGGTGTTTCGCTGGGCATGGTGTGTGGTGTGGGGACAGCCGGCTCCCCCACTTCCGCTGCCGGGCATGCAGGCTGTGGCCCCTTGCCCGCTTTTTCCTGTTGCCAGGTAAGGGTGGGCTTCTCAGCCCCGGGCGTTAGGGTGGGTCACTGTGTATACATGAGGCCACACGGCCCAAGGTTTCACTTTGGCCAAATGCCGAGTGACAGGTGCCACCTCCCATTCTCATTTCATTTGTTTTATTACTAGGGAGGTTTTCTAAAATGTATTTTATCTGTAATGGGCTGCTTCGACTGTTTTATTACATGGGCATCTTTTTTTCAGTTATACATCATAATTTTGCTTTTTAAATACACTTTTTAGGGGTGCCTGGGTGGCTCAGTCGGATAGGCGTCTACCTTCGGCTCAGGTCAGATCTATACATCAGGTGATGGCACTGAGTCCTGCATCGGGCTCCCTGCTTCTCCCTCTGCCTGCAGCTCCCCCCCCACCCCCGCTTGTGCGAGTGCACGTGTGCTCTCTCTGACAAATAAATCTTTAAAAAAAAATACACTTTAGGGCGCCTGGGTGGCTCAGTTGGTTAAGCGACTGCCTTCGGCTCAGGTCATGATCCAGGAGTCCCTGGATTGAGTCCCGCATGGGGCTCCCTGCTCGGCGGGGAGTCTGCTTCTCCCTCTGACCCACCCCCCTCTCGTGCTCTCTCTCTCTCTCATTCTCTCTGTCTCAAATAAATAAATAAAAATCTTTAAAAAAAATACACTTTAAAAAATCTTTAATTGTGCTAAACGACATAAAACAAAATTTACCATCTTAACCATTAAGCTTTTTGTGGTAAGCTTTTTTACCAGATTGAGCTCTCAATTTCATGATGACTTTTTCTGTAAACATTTTATTTTTACGGTTTTCAAACCACAGTTTTTAAACGTCTTTTGTGTTTTGAGAGGCCTTTCTCGCAGCTGACACATTCTCCCATGGTTTTTTTCTCTCTGCTTATAATTTTAAGTTTTATTTTTATCCATCTAGGCCTTATTTAGAGATGAAGAGAAATGGAGGGGTGGCCAGGCCCAAAGGGCCAGCCGATTTTCCCCAGGCGGGGTACAGATTTTATATACTCCCTCCTCCCTAAATAAGACCCTAGTGTGTTGGCCTCTGTTTCTGCATCTGCTCTAATCCATCACCGGCTTTTCTGGTCCTCTCCTGGCTATTTCTTTGGTGTGGTCCTGTGTGTCTTAATAGCTGCTCAGCAGGTTCTTTCTCCTTAATTTTATTTTTTCCCTTCACAAATTCCCAGCTGTTTTCACAAGCTCATTCCTCTTGGGAGTTCTAGAATCTTCATGGAGGGGGCCCAAACACATGCTGTAAGAAATGTTACAGGGGCGCCTGGCTGGCTCAGAGCATGCGGCTCTTGATCTTGGGGTCGTGAGTTTGAGCCCCATGTTGGGTGTGGAGATTACTTTAAAAATAAAATCTTAAAAAAAAAAAAAGTATAAACTTCTGCTTTTGGCCAGATAGTAGACTAGATTCTCAAACTGATCCTCCAAGAAGAAGAGCGAAAATTACTATGTAAAAATGAGTTAAATCTTGATTACTGTGTCTGTGAGCAACCAGAGGCCAGAATGTCAGCCTAGGCAGGAGCCCCAGGAAGGAAGCAGCTTTTGTGTTAGACAAGGTGGGTTTGGTCTTCTGTTTTCACGGGCCTTCACTAGGGTGGCTCTGTTAAGACCTCAGAGGGTGAAGTCAAAATCAAAATAAGATTTCCCCAGGCATGGAAAGGAAACTTGATTATCTCTAGCCTGGCTGTTGGGAGGAAGAGGGGGGAGAATCTAGTCTGGTGAATGGTGACCTTACTCAAGTCTGCAACTCCAGCATTACTTGGGTGGCCAGAGGCCTCCAGTGGACGAAATGGTTTAAAGCTGCCCAGGGTGGTGATGACCCTGGAGGTCTGCTGGATGAGCCTTCAACCCTAGCCTTGAAGAACTCCCCCAGTCCCATCCCAGGAACTGTGTATGAGCGGCATCAAAACTCACAACCTGTCCTTGTGCTTGGGAGCCAAGGGACACAAAAGAAGCAGAGACTTCCAGTGTTGGCATCATCAGACCCAGAATTGGTGTGTTTAATCCTGAAGTGTGAACAAGGAGCAGGACATATGTAGAAGAGCCAAATAGAACTAAGAAATTGGCAAATGGTGGAGATTTCGAACACTGGACACAGCTAACAGTGGATTTCAGCTAGCCAAAGAGAAAACTGGTGAGCTAGAAGGTGGAGTGCAGTGAATTTCCCAAACATGGGAGGAGAAGGGAGGTTAAGGGATGGAGAGAGAGCAGAGGCACACTGAAGAGGATGAGGTGGAGAACTTTCCAGAACTGATGAGAAACACCAATTCACCAGGACTCAGAAAGCCAACCACATCCCAAGCAAGGTGTATTAAAAAAACAGCTGATTCAGGGCTGAAAACTACAGTCAGCATGGAAAGCAATAACGGTGTTGGAGAGCCAACTTCTCAGTCCCACGGCCTGGAACTCAGGACCCACAGGGGCACCACCTTCAAGGCTCTGAGAGAAAGCAGCAGCCCAGAGATGAGATGCTCACCCAACAGAAATATCCTTTGAGAAGGATAGAGAAGTGAAGCCCCTCGTTGAACAAAACTCTAAGGGAATTGTTTTGGGCAGAAAGAAAATGAACCAGGTCAGAGTGCTGACACGCAGGAGGAGGCAGTGAGCAAAAAGGTGAGAAGTGCAACTGAAAGAACATCACCTTCATTAGCAAGAATTGTAAGGTCCAATGTGTAGGATTAAATTCTCAAATTTGACAACAATGGCAAAAAATAGTTGAATGGAGTAAGGTTTTTAAATCTTTGTAGAGGCATGCCTCATTTTACTGCGTTTCTACAAAGTGAAGGCAACTCTGCATTAAACAAGTCTATCAGCACCATTTTTGCAACAGCATCTGCTCACTTTGTGTCTCTTTGTCACATTTTGGTAATTCTTGGCAATATTTCCAACTCTTACTATATTTGTCACGGTGATCTGTGATCAGTGGTTACAACTTTGAAAACTCAAATGATGTTTATCATTTTTTAGCAATAAAAGACAGTTTTAATTAAGGTATGTGCATTTTTTATGCTTCATAGACTACAGTATGGTGCAAATATAACTTTTACAGGCACTGTGAGACCACAAAGTTCATTTGATTGGCTTTATTGGAATATTTGCTTTATTGTGGTGATGGTTTGGAACTGAACCCACAGTATCTCTGAGGTATCGCTGTATTGTTTGAGGGGAGTGGGACATATTACTTGGTTGAGTGGTATAGAAAATATTAATAGTTACTGTAAATACTAGGAGAATAAAACTAGTCTATAACTTCCAAACTAGTAAGGGGCAAAAATTGGAATGAAAAAGAAATAATCCAAAATAATTCTTCCATAGCAAAGGAGGTTCAAGTAGCCCAAAATAAAATCATGGAAATACATATAATTTGCCAGCAATTACAATAAATGTAAATGGTCAAGTTAAAGGACAAAAGATAGACTGTTGCCTTTTTTCAATTCAAATGTTTAAGCTACCTACAAGAAATTTCTACACATTTATCTTAGATGCTGAAAATTTTAAAGGATGAGAAAAAATAAACCTGACAAATATTAAAGAAAGAAAGCTGATATACTCACATTAGTAAAGTTTTATTTTTGTATATTTTTAGAAATAAGGAATATCAAATTAGAGTTTTTATTTTTTTTAAAGATTTTATTTGAGAGACAGCACAAACGGGGAAGGAGAAGGGCAGAGGGAGAAGCAGACTCCCCACTGAGCATGGAGCCCCACATGGGGCTCAATCCCATGACCCTGAGATCATGACCAGAGCCGAAAGCAGCCACCTAACGGACTGAGCCACCCAGGCACCCCTCAAATTAGAGCTTTTAATTCACCAAGGAGATAGAGTCTAAGCTTCTTTACATCTAATAATGGAGCCTCAAAATAAAGTTAAGAACCATTGGAGGATAAGTTTATCTTTTTTTTTTTTTACACTATTAGTAGGTTTTCTAACACTGATCTATACTTAGATTCCTAGAAAGAACTCCACTTTGTATTTTTATTTTAATAAACTGGGCGGGGGGTGGGGGAGGAGTCTGGGCTTTTGCCCTTAATACTTGGTGGATCTTTCCCTGACCTTCAGATTTCTGATGTTGCTGTGTTTTTCAACACCCTCACTCAGCGCAGCATTGCAGGACTCCAACCACCTAGAACATCAGGTGACGAGGTGGGAAGGGAGCCTGGTGAATCAAGCATGGGTTCCTAAGGGCTAACTACCAGGAAGTGACATCCCCCTTCTCTCATTTCATTGACCAAAGCAGGTCACATGACTGCCTGATTCAAGAGCTGAGAGGTACACTCCTCCCTTGTACCTAGAGGGAGAAGAATCAGAAATAGTGGTGAGAATCAACTGATCACTGACAAGTGCCCCCAGCAAAGACAGTTTTGTCTTAGCCAGAGGTTGGCAAACTTTTTCTGTAGAGCCAGATAGTAAATTTTTTCAGTGTTATGGGTCCTGTGGTCTCTGTTCAACAATTCAACTCTGCCGTTGGAGCTGAACACAAATGGACAAGACTGTATTCCAATAAGACTGCACAAAGAGGCTGTAGGCTCGATTTGAACTCTGGGCCATTGGGTCGCCAGCTCCTGGTCTAGGGCATCTACAGCTGGAAGGGCTTGGGGCCTGGGGTCTCCCCCCTCTCCTTCTCCCCTGCTTTCTCTTTTCTCCCTTTCTGTGTCTACTTCCTCCCTCTCCCCCAATCCCTCCTGACAGCTGTCTGGCCCAGCCTCTGCCTGAGTGCGCACTAAAAATATCCCGGCAGCAGCCAAAGCACCTGGGGGCCCTGACTGGAGCATGCGCCAGGAGCTGGCTATGCGACCTTGGCCCGGGCACCCACTCTGCGCAGCCGGCTCATGGGCAGCCCCTCCCTGATACTCACCCTGAGCCTGAGCCACAGCTGCCCCCTGATTTTTCCATGTTCCTGCAACATCTATATCACACCTCCAGGCCTCTGCACCCAAGCTGTCCTCTCCCTGGGGTGCCACCATCCGGCCATGCATCAGCCAGCAGATACTGGATGCTATCCTCACAGGGCAAACTGGCAAATGGAGGGGGTCAGACACGCAGGAGGATACAAGCCACAGAGCTGGGTGTGGAGGGGTAGGTAGACCCACATGCCGCTTGGGGGTGATAGAAGGCCCCATGAGGAAGTGGAGGATTAAGCCACACTGGGGAAGAGGGAGAACACACCTGGCAGAGGGACCCACAGAGGCCCAGGCTTGGTCTTTTAAAGGAACCAAGAGAAGGGCGCCTGGGTG